CAAAAAAAAAAAAAGAAAAGAAAAGAAAGAAATGAACCTGTTACCAATCACAGGAGGAAAAGCCCAGGCCCCTCCCAGAATCACCTAGGGGGTACTGGGAGGACTTGGTAGTCAGCCAGTGCACCCCCTTGTTCTGAGCGAAGGAGCTGGTTGGGGTGGGGGGCACACTGTGCCCCAGTTCTGATCCTACACCTTGACCTAAAAGACGCCTAACTTTACAGTCTGTTTCATTTTATTTTGACGAATTAATGAATGATGAGCATAGAAGATTATTTAAGTTTTACAGTGGGGCCAGCAGGTGGCGTGCTGGTTAAGGTGTTGTACTCCCATATGACCGATCACAGTTCGAGTCCCGAGTGGCTTTCTTTCTCACTTTCACTCTCTCTCTCTCTCTCTCTCTCTCTCTTGTGCAAATGCCCTATAGCAAATTTAAAACTAATAACAATGATAATGATAATTAAAATAGAATAATTCTTTTTTTTAAATCTTTGCAATTTTTCAAATATTTTTAAAGAATTATTTATTTAATTTTATTTGTTGTTATTATTATTATTATTTTTTATTTGACCAAAGAGAGAGAAAGAGAAAGTGAGAAAGCAAGCCACCAGGTCCGGGACTCAAACCACAGGCGACCATGTGGGAGTCCAATGCCTTAAGCACCATGCCACCTGACAGCCCCTTCAAAATAGTCTTAAGTTTTTGGAGAAGAAAACAGACAAGAAATAAAAAGGAAAGTATTGAGACCAGCAGATGACATAACAGTTACATTGCTGAACTCCCACGTTGTTGACCACGGTTCAAGTCTTGGACCCGGTGGCTTCAAACTCACACCAGGCGCATGTGCGTGTGTGCCCAAGATCCCGAGAGGGGAATGGAGGAGAAGGGATTGCGGCATGGCCATCCCCCCTGGGGGGTGATTTCTCACTTTCTCTCTCTCTGTCTCTCTCTTTCTTTCTGGTGAGCGCATGCACCCTATAGAAAAAAAAACTCAAAAAATAAATAAATAAAAGGAAAGTATTAGGTCATTAGAAAAGTCATGATTTTTTTATTAATGTTTTTCTATGCAAAAATGCTTCGTGAGTTTCCCAAACTTTTTTGGAGGGTCCAATCTGGGTCGCCTTTGGTGCCTGGCACTTCCGTATACAGAGAAGGATCTTCCAAAACTTCAGGGAAATGTATATAAGGAAAAAAAAACTCAGGGTGGATTTCAAATTTGATTGCACCGAAATAAAGTCATCCATTAATTCTGTCTTCCATGAACTTTCTGAAGTGCCCTGGTCTCACTTAAAGCTCAGAGTGACAGATGGAAACGCTGGTCAGAGAGGTCAAGGGGCTTCCTGGGGTCACACTCGAGGGTCGATTCCAGCCTGAGCACCCGCAGTTCACCGCGTGGGGCAAGAACAGGGCAGGCCCGCACACAAGGGCGTGGCAGGGAAGAGCCCGACAGTCCTGCAGGGCATGGGATTCTTTGGATTTCTAGAGTTTGGGTCCTCCCTGGCAGAGAGATCACCCCAGGGACCCTACAGCCAGATTACAAATGGGCTTCTTTTTCTGTTTTTTGTTTTTTGTTTTTAGAGAGATTTTTGCTATAGGGCGCATGCACTCATCAGAGAGACAGAGACAAAAAACGAGAAATCGCCCCCCAGGGGGGATGGCCACGCCGCCATCCCTTCTCCTCCATTCTCCTCTCGGGATCTTGGGCACGCACGCACACGCGCCCAGCGTGAGTTTAAGTCGCTGGGTCCAGGACTCGAACTGCAGTTGACTACGTAGGAGTCCAGCACTGTAATTGTTATGCCATCTGCTGGTCCCACAATGGGCTCCTTTTTGTTTCCGGCTTGCAGCGTGGAATCCTCTGACGTGAACTGGAAGAAGAAAAAAAGCGGAGGAATCAAAATCATTTGCCAGTCAGAAATGAGGGACTTCTCGGCCATGGCGTTTATCACGGATCACGTCAATTCATTGATTGACCAGTGGTTTCCCGGTAAGCGAACCTTCTCGAATCTTGCCTTTGTTCGTGTGAGCATTTCATTTTTTCATTTTAAAAAGTCTTTCTGTCTTTATTATTATTATTCTTTTTTAATTTGGTATGGGGCACTCACCAGAGAGACAGAGAGAGAGAGAAAGGGGAAGCGAGAAAGCAAGCCACCAGGTTCAGCACTCGAACTGCAGTCGGCCATGTGAGAGTCCGGTACCTTAACCACCACGCCACCTGCTGGCCCCAAGGATACTTTTTTTTTTTTTTAAGAGAATTTTTATAGGGCATGTGCGCTCACCAGAGAGACAGGAACCGAGCAACCGCCCCTCTGGGGGGGATGATCACGCCTCAGTCCCTTCTCCTCCATTATCCTCTCGGGATCTTGGACATGAATGCACACGTGCCCGGCCTGAGTTTTAAGCCACCGGGTCCGGGACTCGAACCACAGTCAACTATGTGGGAATCCACTGACATAACTATTATGCCATTGGTGGTGCTGCTTATTTAGGAGCACAGAAAACCCACTGGGGGCCAACAGGTGGCATAGAGATGAAAGCGGCTGGATCCCACATAGCCTACTGTGTGGTTCAAGTCCCTGACCCGGCAGCTTGAAAACCACACTGAGCACATGTGCATCTGTGTCCAAAATCTCATGAGAATAGAAGAGAAGGGACTGTGGCGTGTCCACCCCCCCAGGGTTGTGCTTTCTCACTTTCTCTCTCTCTCTCTTTCTCTTTCTGTCTCTCTCTGGCAAACACATGTGCTCTGTAGCAAAAAAATAAAAGGAAAAAAAAAAAAAGAAAAGAAAGAAATCCCTTAGTGGTGAGCCGGCAAATGGCATAGTGGTTATGTCACTGGACTTCCACATGGCTGGCTGGGGTTCAAGTCCTAGACCCGGTGACTTGAACATCACTCCAGGCATATGTATTATTGTGTGTGCCCAAGATTCCAGGAAGAAAATGGAGGAGACGGGATTGCAGTGTGGCCATCCCCCAGTGGGGGAGGGGACAATTTCTCACTTTCTCTCTCACTGTCTCTTTCTCCTGTCTCTGTCTCTTCAATGATCGCAAGCATCCTATGGCAAAAACCTCTAAAAACAAAGGAGCTGGCAGGTGGCGTAGTGGTTGAGGCGCTAGACTAACCATGGTTCAAATCCCGGACCTGGCAGCCACAAAATCACAACAAATAAATAGATGTTAAAATAAATAAATAAATATCTGGCCAGCAGGTGGCATGGTGGTTTGAGTGCCAGACTCTCATATGGCTGAGTGTGGTTCGAGTCCTGGACCTGACAGCTTGCTTTCTCACTTTCTCTCTCTCTCTCTCTCTCTCTCTCTCTCTCTCTCTCTCTCTCTCAGAGCACACATGCTCTGTAGTGGATTAAAATAATAATAAATAAAAAGCAAATAATTCTCTCAAAATAAAGAAATGTTTAAAGAAAAGAAAAGAAAAATCCCACTGGGATTCAGCCCAAGAAAACCAAGGGGTTCTTAACAGCCTTGGCCCGAGTCCCGGCCCAGGGGAATCGGGCTGTGGGCAGGGAGGGAAGCACAGGGTGGGGGGGAGATGAGGCCTCACCCCAGAACAGGCCAGGACTCGGCCTCCTGGCTGCCCGTGGTGTGCGGGAGGAAGGATGACACGGGTACCACTCCCAGCCCAAGGAGAGGCTCAAGGGCCCCTCACAGTGTCTCATTTCCACAGTGAGGGCAGAGTGGCTGGAACTGGGTGGGGGCAGCTGGCAGTTGGAGACTTCTCTGCTTTACAGGGGTGGGGTGGGAGGAGAGCCACAGCTGCCAGGGGATGCCGCGTCCCCTTTCCTGCGTGATCAAACCACCCACGCGGCCCTTCTCAGAACCTTTGGCTCGGTTCCTCATGGACGGCTCACCCAAAGACAATATTTTGTAAAGTGGGGTCTGAGGTCTCTCTGTTTTGCTATGGGGGTGGAGACACTCCCCCCCCCCCGGTGTGGCCTGCAGGGAAGAGGCTGTCTGGGGGCAGAGCAGGCAGGGGAGGAGGCTGCTGGGGAGCCCTCGGCCTCTAAAGGCTGAGACTGAGCACAGGCAGAGTAAGTTTGACATTCCCGCTCTGCCACCGGCCTGCGTGGCGAGTCCCCCTCCTCCTGTACAGCCTCCCCCTGCATGCTGGCTCCACACGCCATGACAGAGCCAGGAAAAGCAGCCGAGGGACAGCGCAGGGGGAGCTCCAGAGAGGCCGTCTGGCTGCCCGAGTTAGTTTCCTTCAGGGTCGGGGGTCCTTTGGGTGTTAGTGGCAAGGGGGACTGACGAGGAAAAAGGGCTTAGAAAGGCCCTCAGGGGGCCAGCAGGTGGTGTAGGCACTGGACTCCCATGTGGTTGACCGCGATTTGAGTCCCAGACTCAGTGGCTTGAAATTCACCCTGGGGATGTGTCCGCGCGTGCGTGCCCAAGATCCCGAGAGGAGAATGGAGGAGAAGGGATTGCGGCGTGGCCATCCCCCCTGGGGGGCGATTTCTCGCTTTCTGTCTCTCTGTCTCTCTCTGTCTGGCTGGCGAGTACACGCACCCTATAGCAAAAACCTCTCCCCCAAAAAACTAAAAATTAAAAAATTAAATTAAATAAGTAATTCTTTTTTAAAAAGAAAAACTTTTTTAACATTTTATTTTTATTTATGTATGTGTTTGATGTGAGTTTCAAGCCACCAGGTCGGGAACTCCAACCACAGTCGGTCATGTGGGAATCCAGCACCTTAACCCCACACCCCTCTTGAAAAAAAATTTTAAAAAAACACCCGACTTAGGGGTGCAGGTGCTGTTCGGGGGTCCCTTGGCAACCGCCTCACATGAGGGGTCTCCTGCTCTGTCCCCATGCAGCCCTGACAGCCACGGAAAGTGATGGGACGCCCCTCATGGAGCAGTACGTGCCCTGCCCGGTCTGCGAGGCGTCCGGGGCCCAGCTGGGGGACCCCGGTGACAAGGCGGAGGACGTGCAGTACTTCAACATGGAGGACTGTGTCCTAACGGCCATCGAGCGGGACTTCATCTCCTGCCCCAGGCACCCCGACCTGCCCGTGCCCCTCCAGGAGCTGGTGCCCGAGCTGTTCATGACCGACTTCCCGGCCAGGTAAGTCCCAGCAGCCCCTCCCAGAACGCGCTGCAGATCGTGGGCCCTGCCGTGACCCTGGGGAGACCCCAGTCCTGGGGTGGTGGAACCCACCGGGCTGGTTGCAAGGTGCAAATCCCAGACCCAGTGGCTTGAAAATCACACTGGGTGCATGTGCATGCCCAAAATCCCAAGAGGAGAATGGAGGAGAAGGGATTGTGGTGTGGCCATCTCTCCTGGGGGGGGTGATTTCTCACTTTCCCTGTCTCTCTCATTCCAGTGAACACACATGCCCTATGACAAAAAGAAAAAAAAATAGGAATTATTTATTTATGTAACTTTATCTGTTATGATTATTTTTTTAATTTGACCAGAGAGAGAGAAAAAAATAAAAAGGGCAAGTGAGAAAGCAAGGTGCCAAGTCCAAGACTCAAACCACAGTCAGTCACGTGGAAGTCGAGCACCCTTAACCACCACGCCACCTACTGGCCCCTCCTATAGCTAATGTTTAAGTTGGTTTTTTTTTCTTTCTTTTTTTTTTAATTATTTTCTTTAGCTTTATTTATTTATTTATTTATTGGAGAGGTTTTTGTTATAGGGCGCATGCGTTCACCAGACAGACAGAGAGAGACAGAGAGACAGAAAGCGAGAAATCACCCCCCGGGGGGATGGTCACGCCACAATCCCTTCTCCTCCATTCTCCTCTCGGGATCTTGGGCACGCACGCACACGCGCCCGGTGTGAGTTTTAAGTCACCGGGTCCGGGACGCGAACCGCAGTCGACTACGTGGGAGTCCAGCGACACAGCCATTACGCTAACTGCTGGTCCCTATTTATTTATTTTAATTTGACCAGAGAGGGACCGAATGAGAGAGAGAGGGCAAGTGAGAACGCAAGTCACCGAGTCCAGGACTCGAACCACAGTCGGCCATGCGGGAGTCCAACACCCTTAACCACCACACCACCTTTTTTTTTCAGTGTTTAAGACATTTTATTTGTTTGTTTTCCATGAATAATAGAGACACAGAGAGAGAGAGAGACAGCAGCCCCAACAAAGAGATACAGAGAAAGAGATAGAATGACAACACCCCCCCCAACAACTGCATGATCCCCGCCCCCAACCTCAACCAGCCTAGGGTCAAAGGTACACCACACCCAGCTTATCCAGGGGGACTCCCCAGACCAAACCCAGAACCCGCCTACACCGTCCCACCTCACAGAGTGTCCTGCTTTCCCCCTGGACCAAGGTCTAGCCCCATCCGTTTTCTGGGTTTTTGTTGCGGTGGTGGTGGGGGAGAGATTTTTGCTATAGGGCACATGTGCTCTCCAGAGAGACAGAGAGACAAAAAACGAGGAATTGCCCCACAGGGGGATGGCCACACCACAATCCCTCCTCTGTTTTCTTCCCGGGATCTTGGGCATGCACGTACACACGCCTAGCACAAGTTTGAAGCCACCAGGTCCAGGACTCGAACCGTGGTTGACCATGTGGGAGTCCAGTGACGTAACCATTATGCCAGTCTGAAGGCCTCAGCAGACCCAGCTGGGCAACGCCCTTTGCAGAGAAAGCTGTCCTGGACCCCTGCATCCTTCCCTACCTAAGGAGAGTTCCTATCTGCAACTGGCCCTCCCTTTTTTTTTTTTCTTTTTCATATTATTTTATTCATTATTACCGTAATTTTTATATTACATTTAATCACATATATCCTTACAGTGTAATACATTTCTTTAGCCGGCACGATTACCATGCCTATCAGTCGAGACAAAGACTTTTCTATCTACATCATCCTCATCAGATAGCTTTTGATCTTTTTTCCCCACATTATTATTTATTTATTTATTTATTTATTTATTTATTTATTTTTGGAGAGGTTTTTGCTATAGGACGCGTGCGCTGGCCTGTTCATTGTGTGAATCCAGTGCCTTAACCACCATGCCACCTGCTGGCCCCAAGAAGACCCTTTTTAAAAAATATTTATTGGGGCCAGCAGGTGGCGTGGTGGTTAAGGGCTCTGGACTCCCACACGGCTGACCACAGTTTGAGTCCTGGACCTGGTACGTTTCCTTCTCCCTTTCTCTCTCTCTCCCTTTCTCTCTCTCTCTCTCAGAACTTTAATTCTTGGTAAATTTAAAAAGAATTATAATGAATGAATAAATGAAATAAATAAGTTTGTTTTTTTTTTTTAAAAAAAAGGACTTAATACTACTGGGGCCAGTAGCTGGTGTGTAGTTAAGGCATTGAACTCCCACATGGCCAACTGAAATTTAAGTCCCGAAACTGCTGGCTTGCTTTCTCACTTTCTCTCTCTCTCTCTGTCTCTCTCTGGAAAGTGCACATGCCCTATAGCAAATTCAAAATAATAATATTAATAGGAACCAGCAGATGACATAATGGTTGTGTCACTGGATTTCCACATAGTGGACCACCGTCCTTGGACCTGTTGCTAAAAACTCATGCTGGGGGGGTTGGCAGGTGGCATCGTAGTTCAGGGCGCTGGACTCCCACATGGCCAACCATGGTTCAAGTCCCAGCCTTGGTGGCTTTCCTTCTCGCTCTCTCTCTCTGTCCCTCTCTGGTCAAAGTAAAATAAATGAAATAATTATTTTTTTAAAATAAGTAAAAACACACTGGGTCCACGTGCGTGCATGCCCAAACTCCTGGGAGGAGAATGGAGGAGAAGGGATTGCTGCGTGGCCATCTCCCCAAGGGATGATTTCTTGCTTTCTGTCTCTCTGTCTCTCCAGCAAGCACACATGCCCTATAGCAAAAATCTCTCTTTAAAAAAAAAAATATATATAGGGACCAGCAGTTAGCATAATAGCTATGTTGCTGGACTCCCATGTAGTCGACCACAGTTCAAGTCTCGGATCCGGTGGCTTAAACTCACGCCGGTGCGTGTGCGTGC